CTCCACCAATTATAGTTCCACTCACAATTGGAGGGAATTCAACTCTATCATCCTGTGCTCCTTCATCCCTGACACTCATGTCCATGACCTCTGGTTCAATCTCATCTGCGTCCAAATTCACAACCAATGACATCCTCCTTGCCCTCACTAAATCCGCAACTTCACTAGTTACTCCCTTGCACTTCTTTACCTTTATCTTCACCAAATTGTACCGGTATTTTCAAAAAGAAAACACAAGGTCTTAATACACCATTCTACCTCATCTACAGCCAATCAACTTGAAAAATGACGAATTCAAATTTCTAACCATCTCTAATTTGAACTACCGAATTAACCTAATTAATACATTTCATTCAACGCATCCCTATACTAATTGAAAAATAATAATTTAAAATATAACAAATGAAAAATTTAACATGCTTGATGAATTCTTTTGTCGCTAGCATTTTGGGGGTGACTGTAGTGCCGCTCAATTGAACGAATTTTATTTTCTTTCAAGACCAACCGCTCAATCTTCTTCTCAACCGCTATGTTGAGTGACTGCAGTGCCGCCAAATCCTCCACCGACACCCCAATCTTAGCCGACAGTGGCGGTATATCAGGTGTCGTTAGCTGCAGTTGGGTAGCATTGCTTCTGGGCTCTGACCACGGCAGTGATAGCATGACGGAGGGAGTGGGATTGGAAGAGAGAGAAGGAAGAGACGAAATTGGAAAAAAGAAGGAAGAGAGATGTGTTTGGAGCGTTTCCCGTGTTTTCCAATTGTTGGCTGTTTTCTACTGAAAATTCACAAAACGGCTAAAACCCCGTTTTCCGTTTTCTTTACAAATTTTTTTTTTTTGTTTTCGAAAATCCGTTTTCGAAAATGACAAAGAGAACGCGTTTTCATCGTTTTGAAAAATCGAAAACAGAAAATGACTTGAAAACAGCAAAGAGAACGGCACCCTAGCTTTCTCAAAATTGACGAATCTTTGTATTTATCCTTATTTATCTCACTTGCATTATATTGTGTGGATGTAGGATTCGCGATGTGGTGACAATGGAGGCAAGAAAGATATCGCTGCACCACTCAAGAAGAAATGTTTTGGCTCTATTTTTTCTACTCTTCCGGTTCCTCAATACGTATCAACCAAGTTGTAATTTTGTAAAATCGGACAAACTTGCACTTTAAATTTAAAATTTAAGGAAATAAAAATAAATAAATAAAATTGAATGGGAACCAAAGTGCTCTAAGTGGTAACGTTTAAGGATCATAAATGCAAATTTCCCTTGAAGTTATTTTCTTGTATGTCTCAACCACTATTGTAGGTACCCGTAAGGCCGTAACTAGTCCTAGTTTATTTTTTGCTCGATGAAAAACCTATACAAAATTAATTTTTGTAATATTGCTGATTGATTACATTTCCATCCAAATTTTTTAGCTATTTCATGGCCAACTAAATAATTTCAACAGTAATATCTAGTGAACAAACTTTGCTAATTTTGTTGGTGTTATATGAAAAGCAGGTTTTGGCCTTTAATCGGACCAATTTTCAGTCCATTTCCAAGTTTTTTCGATGGAATCCACTGATTAATCTTACAACTTTAACCAGCACAGAAGTGGACATAATTATTCAAGATGAGCACTGATGAATGTACTTTATACATTTATCTGGACCGTTAAATAAGACCAGTTGTAATTAATTTTGAGACTTATGGAATCGAGATTGTGAAAAATTCAATATTGGAATTGAAGATCAACGTCACTTGCATTCTATCATCATTCTGATTAATTTTTTCTATTATTCTTCTAATTGTAATTTATTTGAAAACATGTTGGGCTAATCCCTTTTGTATTGGATGAAGATAAACATTATTGTTTATTTGTTTTAATTAAAGATTAGTAGTTTAGTTTATTTCTTTTGTTTCTTAATTAATTTTCATTCTCATTACATTATTTAATTTCTTGATCACCAATTACAAAATTGGTTACTTGTTTCAGTGTTAGGAGACTCACAATAAGTTTAGAACGCAATAAAATTAACATATGTGCAATAGATTTTAGGAACAACATTTTATCATGTATCCAATCCTACAGATAACCTAAAATTTAATGCATTCTAATAATTCGAATTCGGGATAGGAATAGATTCATGTTGTGATTAGGATATAATTAATTTATCTTGGAAAAGAAAGTTAAATACATTATCTTTATCGATTGACAAGAGCACATGAATATGACTAAATTACGTAACTAGGAATTGAAATAGATAACAATAGAAGAATTCTAAATCCAATACAATCATCTATAAATTGATAAGAACCTTAGTTTTGCATATTTTTTAAGATTAAATTAGAATAATTATAACATCAAAATCTCTTTTGTTTCACAATTCGAATTTCATACATAACTAGTAAACTTGAATTGAATTTATTTTCTGTGATACGGTATTCTCAACTCATCAAATCTATTACTTATCAATGCTTTCGTATGTTTGCGAGATTTTATCGAACAACCACATCTATGCAATTGGCGGCATTGACAAGATTGCCGAGAGAAAAGTAAATATGTGCCAATTGTCCATATAAGTTTTTTGAATACTGTGATTATCATGTGTGTATTTCAATAACAAAATTAGAAATGTTTTAAACTTTTTTTCCTTCAGTCTCGAGGCTATAAATTATTTGGAATCATGCTACAATGTCAGAAAAATTTACATAATACTAAATAATATACTATCATTTGAATGTTTAAAACATAATCAACTTTTCCATCCAATCACCTTTAGAAAATAAGAGTAAAATGTTTGTTCTTATTCATATTATTATAACTACTAAAGAAAGAAATGAATTGCTAGATTAATTTGGTGGTGGAAAGAAAATTTCTTCGGCCTTTCTCTTTGAGCTGAATTTCTGCTCTACATCAGGAGCAACGTTGAATGATGCCTGGAGAACCTGAGGGGACAATGCCTTCCAAACTGAAGTCCTTCCAGCTAAGTGTGTGAAAATCGGACTGCCATTCACCACATAATTTAAGTCAGACAAGACTAAATCCCTGTTTGTCTAACATTAAATTGGAAAATGAGCATTGAATTTTTGAAAGAATGTGTGATTAAAAAGCAGGAAAATGTTTTGTAATTGAAAATGAATTTGAGAAAAAAAAGTTTTAAAATAATGGTAGACATCTCCTCCCCATGGTGGATAGGAATTATCTTACTCACTGCTGATATGGGCATGCAATTTTTGACAAATCAACGTTGAATTGTCAAAAATTGTAGGCTTGATCGCTAACGTGCGTAGCCACATCAGCAATGGGTATATGTTATCCTATCCACCATAGGTAGAGATCATTTTTAATGGTAGACAAACAAAATATAAATAAATAAAAGTTGAATTNATCTAGTGAACAAACTTTGCTAATTTTGTTGGTGTTATATGAAAAGCAGGTTTTGGCCTTTAATCGGACCAATTTTCAGTCCATTTCCAAGTTTTTTCGATGGAATTCACTGATCATTCTTACAACTTTAACCAACACAGAAGTGGACATAATTATTCAAGATGAGCACTGATTAAATAAGACCAGTTGCAATTAATTTTGAGACTTATGGATTAATTAAATATTAATTTTGTTTGTTGGGCAAAACTCGAGGCAAATGGGTGGAATTGAAAGAAATGAACAACAAACAAATTCAAAGTTTGGGGACCAAAGTGTAAACATACAATAGTTCTTTTTGAACCCAAATTGGACACGATTTTAACCTATTTTCTAACTCTTATAAATACAAAACAAGGGCTATACATTGAGAGAACCCTCTCTGCTCTCTTCATACACACTTATATCATCAAATTCATCAAGAACAAGGAGTCAAATGCTATATTTTGAGAGATGAGAAACTCCAGCAAGAAATTGAAGCCAATTACATCAAGATTGTGAAGAATTCAACATTGGAATCGAAGATCAATGTCACTTGCATTCTGTCATGATTCTGTTTATATTTTTCTATTATTCTTCTTATAATTTATTTAAAAACATGTTTGGCTAATCCCTTTTGTATTGGATGAAGATAAATCTTATTGTTTATTTGTTTTAATTCAAGATTAGTAGTTTAGTTTATTTCTTTTGTTTCTTGATTAATTTGCATTCTCATTACATTATTTAATTTTTTGATCACCAATTAGAAAATTAGTTACTTGTTTCAGTGTTAGGATACCCACAATAAGTTTAGAACGCGATAAAATTAATATATGTGCAATAGATTTTATGAACAACATTTTATCACGTATCCAATCCTACAGATAATCTAAAATTTAATGCATTCTAATAATTCGAATTCGAGATATGAATAGATTCATGTCGTGATTAGGATATAATTAATTTATCTTGGAAAAGAAAGTTAAAGACATTATTTTTATCGATTTACAACAAGAACACATGAATATTACATAATTAGGAATTGAAATAGATAACAATAGACGAATTCTAAATCCAATATAATCATCTATAAATTGATAAGAACCTTAGTTTTGCATATTTTTTAGATTAAATTAGAATAATTATAACATCAAAATCTCTTTTGTTACATAATTCGGATTTCATACATAACTAGTAAACTTGAATTGAATTTATTTTTTGTGAGACGGTATTCTCAACTCTTCAAATCTATTACTTATCAATGCTTTCGTATGTTTTCAAGATTTTATCGAAGAACACGTCTATGCAATTGGCGGCATTGGCAAGATTGCCGAGAGAAAAGTAAATATGTGCCAAGTGTCCATATAAGTTTTTTGAATACTGTGATTATCATGTGTGTATTTCAATAACAAAATTAGAAATGTTTTAAACTATTTTTCCTTCGGTCTCGATGCTATAAATTATTTGGAATCATGCTACATTCTCAAAAAAGTTTCCCAAAAAATTGACATAATACTACATAATATACTATCATTGAAATGTTTAAAACATAATTAACTTTTCCATCCAATTATCTTCGGCCACCATTTGTCACTACATAATATACTATCATTGAAATGTTTAAAATCAAAGAATATCGTTAAAGAAGCATCACCTTAAATTGAAAATCTTTAGAAAACAAGGGTGCGTTTGATTGTAAGGGTGGAAAATGTGTGAAAAGAAAATGTTTTACAG